GATGGGAAACGTGTGGTTGAAAAAGAAGAAAAAATTATTGATGTGATGGAAAATATTATTTTATTGAAGAATGTGTGGTTGAAAATGAGAATTGATTTACTGTAGAAAAATCAAAATCACTCCCAAACAGGATGTAAATTGCTAGACAAGAATCATGGTTCACACCTAGGTAATAGTGAATTATTAGAAAATGTCCAAATTTGAATTTACGTGCATAATACTTTATTTTGAAAATGTGTATTTGAAATAATAGAAATCAAAAATTGGCTAAATTTACTTCAAAATGAGTTAATCATTATCGAGCTAGGAAGGTTTACAATCATGCTACATGTATATCATCTTTTAGATCATTATTTACATCATGTCACGTGGCGGCACATTATTGGACAATTTAAAAAAAAAAAAAAACACTTTTCCCGCCTACAAATTTTTGAGAGCAAAGAGAACGTCTTGTTCGGAAAAAATTGTACAAATAGCATTATTGGATGGTTTAGGCTCTTAGCCCATGTTACAAAAGGTTAAGATAAATATATTGAATCTCTTGTGGAGGCAATATAACACAGTAGAAGACTCATTTATAGCAATTTGCTTAGATGAGAATTTTATAGGCATACAGGAACCAGACTTGATTGTGTTAATCCTATTGGTTGTGGATTTCAAAACCTTGCATCAACTCACTGGTAGTGAACATGAATAATTATCCAAGCATGGCATGTTTTATGTCAATTTTTGGGCTCTTTACTCGTGATTTGCTCAATTGATAGCTTTAAGCTTAACTAATACACGTTTTTGTCACCCCATATCGTTCATCATGGTTGATAGTCTAGACAATTTATTATCATTGACCTTGATATGCTGTGGTTAAAATCGTCACTAACTCCAACGAATGACAATTATATTCACATATGAAGGATTGTGGAGTCGTTGCAGGTTATTTATACGAACAAGGATGTTGCAACTAAATGTGGCACGTTCCAATGACTAGTCATTGGGCCTAGAGGAGCAAGTAATAGGTGTTGACCTCAAAAAATGGTCCAATGACATGGCCAACAAATAATGAATAATTAGATACGAGTATCCACATAAGCTTAGATTTCAATGCGCCTATGATTCAGATCACCCGCTTCTCAAACCAATCAATGAAGGGAATGATCCAAGGCATTTAATAAATTACTATGATAATTGTTTGTTGCCTGAAAAAAGGGGTCGGCTGTTGAGCTTTGTAGAGAGAATCGAGATTTTCCTTAGATATGAAAACTTGAATTACCTTCAAATGGTGCTAAGTGTGTGTATTTATATCCAATGCCAAGTGAATGAGGTACATTGGATGATAAGGCACGTTGTTCTATTAGATCCGTTGGTTCTTATAAATATCAATCAATCAGTCAAGCTATCAAATGCTAAGATCCCCCATATCTTTACACCTAGGTTAAGGATTTGACCGCGTAGGCATGCAGAGGCAGTGTTGGCAATGTGATGTCTTGTCAATCACTTCATGAGACCCATTGTTGGTTGGCTGCTCACCTCGTCACAGATGGGCTCGCAGCAAGGGGTAATGTTGAAAGAGGGTTGGTTGTCCTGTTTTCAATCGGTTCATCCATCTTGCTATGTTATGTGTGTAGGCTCGTTGGTTTGTCTGCTGGCCACGTGGGACATTAATTTTATATCTGTAATAGATTGTATTTTAGACTTGTTGACCTCAAAAAAGCGACAATAGAATCCCTTCCACCTCCTCTCCACGTAGACATCATCTGCAGACTGGAATACCCTGTTATGAGGCAATGGTCGTCGATGGAGAAAAGGTTTTGACGATCATTTGTACTGACGGTCAAGTCAACTGTCGAACGAGAAAAATAAGAGTGCAAGAGATGGGAGAGGGGATTTGGTTAGGGTTAGAAAACATACCTTCTTATGAATGAAACTCATATATGTAGGAAAATATAAATGGGTTAGTGGTTAATGGGCCAAACCCAAGATGCAATTGTTTAGTTTAATAAGTCAAATCTAATGAATAGTCGATGCCACGTAATTTATATAAGTGTAACAAAATTGGGAAATGCTGAAGTGTCATGTAACAACATGTAATTCATTATGTAATTATTGATGTATATGTAGCAAGATCATTTTTATGAATCCAAGATTGGAAGGGAAGTTTTGCAGAAAAAAGGCCTTTCTTGTGTGGAGGAAGATAGAAACAAGCACCCAACAATGGCTTCTGTGGTTCAAACTCTATTGGAATCTGAAGAAGATACAGAAATCCAAATTTCACAAACCTTGTAATTGCATTTTTTTTAGCTCTAAATTTTGCTCCTTTTTGCATTTTTTTCATTAGACTTCTTTATCTTGGTAGCTAATGTGAACTCAAATTTTTTTTCTCCCATTTCGATGAATAGATTATCAAATTCTGTTGAGAAACGAACACACAAATTATCGCAGCAGCAGAATAAATAAATTTTTTTTTTCACGTAACTTAGGAGAAATAGTGTGAACCCAGAACAGGTCTGAACAAGTTTGCTTCACCAGAGAAATACTCCATCAACGAATCATAGCAGAGACTTGAGACTCGACGGGACCAGTATGAAACTGATAGCATTGTCAAAATACAGAATAGAAGTTTCGAATCTTCCACAGAATTTCCAAATTTCACTACTCTTTGGACCACTTTTAAATTTCTGGTTATTTAATTGGTTAAACAGTTCATTGATAAAAAAATATCGCCAGGCTCAGAATGCTACATATTTGCTTCGAGGGCTTGATCTTTTCTGATAGAAAAATATCTATATTTTTTGTGGAGCATCAGCAAGAATATGTCGATCTAAATAGAAATCAAGAAAATCTGGAAAAGGTAAATACCTGTTAACAGTACAATTGTTATATTGTGACACTTTACTTACTAGTGACATGGTATATTCTGATCAAGCCGTTGCAAAGTGGCATAGCGAACCAAGTGTCGAAATGACTGAGCTCATCCCATACCCAAATCCGCCCAAGCTCAAGAGGTCGAGCTCATTATTAGTGTTATGAAACGAATCGCAAGATAATGACGATAATGAAATAAAGAAGAAGAAAACAAGAATACAAGAATTTATGTGGAAACCCAATTCGGAAAAAATCACGGATAGAGGAGAACAATCCACTATAATCAATAGTTTTATATTTACAATATCAAGATTTCAATAATCTCAATTGAAATTTAAACTTTCAATCTCTCAATACGTTGTTGAAGATGAAAGAAGACGGTGAAGGAATCCAAAATATGCCTTTAGCCATCCAATAGTCATCTTTTAAGCCAAACTCCTAATTATTATTGAAATTTGATCTTCAATTATATTAGAACTCTACAAACCCAGATACTTTAAACTTCCTACAATCAATCAAATACAAAATTACATGGAATTTGGATCACACAACAACAATTAGAAATGTGTTAATACTTTCAAGGAACCTCAAAATTCTCAATTCGGTTTTCATAGCTTCCCTCCTCAAAGAGGAACTATGAAAAACTTAGTCAATTTAATCACGGGCAGGGGCGGATCTAGGGATGGGCTGGCCAGTGCTACAGCCCGTCCCCTCCAGCCCAAATGCTGAAGAAAAAAAAATTCAAGTAAAAAAAAAAAATTTTATGTGTGAATTTTTTTTTCTTTGCGTATTAGCCCATGCTAAAAAATTTTCTGGATCCGCCCCTGATCACGGGACACCCTAACAACTGACGAGTTCAACCAATAAGAGTTAAATTCCAATTAAAAAGGCATTTACGTTAGTAAACATTATCGTTGACCTAAGGCCGTAATTGACCCAGTCGTTGTCTATATATATAAGAT